GTGTCACATTGTTTAAGATTAGAAATCTTTATTATTGTGAGCGTACAGTAATGTTTAAAATACTTAATCGTAATCGTTCAATTACTTCTCAAGTCAAGTCATTTTATTACTCGTGGTACAGTAGTCTACACTATTAGAATATGCTCAATATAATTTAAAAACTGTACAGTATATGAAATATATTCCCCTAGATAATTAAGAAGAAAGAATAATAATGATAATGTGGAACCTTATTGACAAAGCCTTCACGACATTAAAAATGATTTTCTATATTTCCAAAGTCTTTTGTAATGCAAGGTACATTATTGTTGGTGTTTTTTTTTTTTAGGTGATGTATGTTTCTCAAAGTGTGAAGGTTGGTTGGAACAGTTACTAAATAGCTATATTTGAGTTTAGGATGTTTTCGTCAAAATTTTGTTTAAAATATACTGATTGAAAATGCCATCACTCTTGATAATAACCATACTGCATATTGATTAAATCATTGTACAATGATTTAATGAATATCCATAGGCCTACATAGGCCTATGTTTTAGATATGTTAATAGTAATTATTATCAATGTGTAGAGGATTTGCTTGGACAGATACCGGTAGACACCATCTATTACTAAATCTTAACCAACTCCTGGGTTAATCATTGCCAAATTACTGAGAACATTTTCGGCATGTGTATAAATGTACGTCAAATAATAAGCAAGATTATTTCGCAATTTAATTTAATGTTCATACCTTTGTCTTTTCTTCTAGATGCTAAGTGCTTTACCATGTGTACAGGTTGGTTGCAATTTGTTGTTTACAGTGCCGTGGGAACCTGTTTCATTAGTTTCCGAATTGTTTTGTAGTTAGTTTCCAGACAACCAGTGATAATTATTAGGCCTCGATTTTTTTTCCTTTATTAAATGTAAAAAAAATCCCAAAACGGCGATTATCATGTATGTATATTATAAATTATATTAAAACTATATTTTATTATATTTCCATTTAATTGCACTAAGAAAGTTAAATCGTGGAAACAGTTGGGTGCGAGATCGTGATATTACATCATAATTGAAGCATAGTGTAGGCCTACGTGACAAGCTAGACAAAAGCAAATAACTACAGTGTCCAATAATATCATTAAATATATCCTGAGACATAATTTAGAGTTGGGGGGGGGGGGGTTGGGGGGGGGGGAACATACGCAACAGGCCTATGCATCTTGGACTGTATTCAATAAATAAATGTGAAAACATTTGGCTACTAGTTCGCTAAAAGTCATGGGTACGTGATCTCCAATGGTGGGTACGAGTTCACCTAAATTCGGGTATGGATTAGCCAAAGTAGGTACGAGTTGACATGGGTACGAGTTTGCAACAGTGGTTGCGCCGGAAATCTGCCGACAAGGGGTCCGACGTGTCCGACGGAGGGGTCCGAACCAAGGCGCCGACGAAGCCCCGGTAGAAGGCCTGGAATAAAAAAGAAATCCCTATAAAGGCCTGTTTATACTTAATAAGAACTCTCCCCATAAACCATAAAGGCATGTTTATACTTGCAACGATAACGATAACGATAAAAAGCTAAAAAGCAATTGTTCGTATATTATAGAAAATAAAAGAAATAAGTTTTTACCCTAGGACGGTTCGATAATGACTTATCGTGTATACGATAACAAAATATTTTGACAAATCAATTCAAATGACGTCATAATTATGGAAAAAACTATAATATCGTTTTGACTATTACGACATATTATTACTATTTTACCGTTTTTCCCATGATTATGACGTCATTTGAATTGATTCGTTAAATTATTTTATACACGATAAGTCGTTATCGAATCGTCCTAGTGTAAACATTTCCCTTATTTCTTTTATTTTCTGTATGAACAATTGCTTTTTAGCTTTTTATCGTTATCGTTACCGTTGCAAGTATAAACATGCCTTTAGGGTTTATGGGGAGAGTTCTTATGGCTTTATTTGGTCCTAAATGTGCTTTTAGACCACAATGTTTTTGATTTGGTCCGACGACCTAGTCGTTCATCAGGCGACAGGGGGTAACTTGTACCAATGTCAACTCGCACCCACAACTTGTACCCACATGTATACTATATACTAGGTTATTGCAAGATTAAGAATAATAATAAATCTACCTGGATGCCTTTCAGGCTATCCCGATTCTAGTTGCCTAGACCTATGTACACTTATGTTTTCCAAAATATTCTAAACAGTAATACAAGAAATAACACGCCTGCAGCCAAGTATTATATTTAGGCTAACCTAGGCCACTATTACTAGACATTTTGTTTGTGGGTGCCAGATAAGAAACCTACAATTGTCCATAAGTGTCACAACAACGCATTGTACAACTTTCGTAAACAATGTGCCAACCCTGAACCGAGTTCCCAAAATTATGTAGTTTCTACGCATGCGCTATAATTTTGCGTCGTAAACGCGACCGAGTTTTTGAAAATAATTCTTTAAACTATGACGAGTATTGCCTCCACACATAAACTCAATTTTGAGTCTCAATAATTGTAGTGAAATTATTATAATTTTCTTTACTATGGCAGACAAATCCCAAATATTATTTCTATAAAACCACAATTGTAAACAAATAAAAATTATAAAATTTCGCACTAGTTTCATGAGAAAATCGAAAAAATGACAGCACTGTTCTGAATTTTACGATTTAGTGTGGTTTAAAATTAAACATTATTTAGGGCCTATTTTTATTATTAATTAGTTTCAGGCATGGCGGCTCAGGGTTGGCACGGCGGGTTTATGAAAGGGCCAAATTCAACGGAAACACGTTCCAATATGTCAGACACACTTTCAAAATTCACGTTAACACATTATGAGACACCATAGCAACTTTCAACTTCGAAAAATCTCAGGTCAAACTTGTAAAATTAACAGAGTGTCCGATGGAATGGGAATTTAACGCTGATTTTATGAGCTGCTATTACTTGGCTCAAGACACACATACTGACTATCTATCAGCAAACAGTACTTGCCATACACTTGGCGGACATATTGCGACCATTTCCAGTGTGAAGGAAACATCTTGGATACAAACGAAGTTGAATGCAGACTTACTAATGTGGCAACCAGCTTGGACCCATGATGATAGGTTGACAGAAAGGTATAAAAGTAAGTTATATCCTTATTATTATCATTATTATTATTATTGTAACATCCATTTATAGAGTAAAAATGAAGTTTTTAGTCCCATTGGTTAAACATTTTAATATACTGTATTTTTAAAATCTAGGAAGTCATATCTGATTTTCTATTGTGTTAGTGTTGACGTTTAAATCTAGAAATATTCCTAATGACATCTGTGAGGTAAAAGGTCAACATTTGATGAATAAAAAATGAAGCTTTTAGTTCATTATTATAAAAGTCTAGTGTACTGTTGTTAATATACAAGAATTCGTGTTTGATGTCCGATTAATTTAGGTTTGACCTTCAAATCCAAGAATGCTACTGACTTTTAAAAACTATACAAAGTGCAAGAGGTTACAAACGTTGGCTATCAATGGTCAAACAATCTCTTTTTTTACAATGTGTCACTTTGACTTTGCGTGTTATTAAACTCCGGAATTTCACACACTCACTTAGCAGCTCCCTTCAATTTGAATATCTAAACTAGGTCGAAACTCGAATAAAGGTTGTATTGAATCCAACAACAGATGTAAATTCCTGGACGTACTAAACCTTCACACCCATTGGCTAAAGCGGCCATGTAGGCCAATACACTGAAAAAAACTTAAAATGGCGGAAGGCGGCCATTTTGGATTCAGAGCTCTTACAGGTTAGTCCCACACTTCCACGAGGGACACCCCTGCATTTTTTCAACCCTCAAGGAAGATAAATCCACTGAAAAACTAAGTTATCCTCTCCACGTTCATGGAATTGCCAGAAATGAGCCAAGACATCTTAGATCATAATTATCTTATGCTTGTCTATGAGTCCGAGTTATTGTGGTTTATAGAGCGCAAAAGATGAACATAGCTGTCCCTAAGTCTTATTTTTAGCTTTTTATAAAGTACAAGATTTACACTTACAGCACAGATGACATTACTAGACAGTATAATATATTTAACCTGTACTTTTCTTAAACTTTTTCTTCATTCATTTTCAGTTTTATTGTTAAGCGCACTGAGGCTTTAGCATAATGCGCTATATAAGCAAAAATTATTATTATTATTATTATTATTATTATTATTATTATTATTATTATTATTATTATTATTCGAAAAATAGCTCATCTGTGTTGGTATTTGAATGTACGAAAAGTTTAAACTTTTGATCACAACACAAAAAAATTTCCTTAACGTGAAATTTTCGACCCTATGCCACGGTCTTCTTCAGCACAATGACTGGAATGTGACTTGAAGGCTACACCGATTTTGGGCACGTGATCTTACGAACACGTGACTCCAAAATCGGATCGTAGATCTTTGGCAGTTTGTGTCGGAAATTATACCCAAGATTCATAAAGTAAACATCCCATTGAGACCAATCGTCAGTAGTATTGACTCGATCACTTACAGTTCAGCAAAGTTTTTGGCTGAAGTTCTCTCACCTTTAGTTGGAAATTCAATTCATCATGTGGTCAATTCTTTAAAATTCTCAAAACTAATGAAAAACAAGAGAGTTGAAGAGGATGAAGAGTTAAGATCGTATGATGTTACAGCACTCTTTACGTCAGTTCCAGTGGATAAATCGTTGGAAATAATTCACACCAGACTGCAAAACAATCCTACTCTTAGTAATAGGACCACCGTTACACCACAACAGATTATTAAGCTCTTGGAGGTATGCCTGAGGTGCACATATTTCGTATACAATGGCACGTTTTACCAGCAAATCCGTGGAGCGGCTATGGGCTCACCGGTATCCCCATCGTATGCAATCTTTACATGGAAGATATGGAACAACTGGCTATTAAGACTGCCCTTCATCCCCCAATTTGGTGGTACAGATATGTTGATGACACACACACACAAAACTGAAGAAAGCTCACGCTCAAGAATTTACTGATCATCTGAATTCATTGGACCCAGATATTAAATTCACAACAGAGAGCGAGGTCAACCGTTCGCTGGCTTTTCTTGACACGCTTACAGTAATACAGAATGATGGTAGCATTAACATCAAAATCTACAGGAAACCGACACACACTGATCAATACCTTAACATTTACTCTAACCACCCTCTTCAACATAAATTAGGGGTCATCAATACACTTTACCATAGAGCCAACTCACTCGTCACGAAGGAGGAAGACAAAATTCATGAATGCTTACACATCGATCAAGCTCTGAATAGATGTGGTTATCCAACTGGGCTATCAATCGAGCAACTAGGAGACATAAGGGCAAGAATGACTGCCAAAGGCATCAGACAACTAATAAAGGATTGGCCGTTATCCCATATATAAAGGGAGTCTCTGAAACCCTCAAGCGAACCTTCGAAACATTTGGCATCACAACGTGCTTTAAACCCACATGCACCTTAAGACAGTTGTTAGTATCACCAAAGGACAAGAGCCAAAAGAAAGACATCACAGGGGCCATCTACCACTCCCATGCCAAGGCAAACTACTTCCGGCAAATGTAAGGATTCTTACATTGGGGAATCAGAAAGAACTCTGAAAACACGTTTCTTGGAACATCGTAGACCGAGTTCAACTTCATCGGAAATCTCTCAACATATACACATTGAATCACCTGGACATCATGTGGACCTGGCACAGGTCAACATTCTTGACAGGGAACCAAGACACTTTGAAATAGGTGTCAAAGAGGCAATTCATATCCGTGTGAACAAACCAACGCTAAACGGAGACGTGGGCCGACACAAACTGCCAAAGATCTACGATCCGTCACGTGTTCGTAAGATCACGTGCCCAAAATTGGTGTAGCCTTCAATTCACATTCCAGTAATTGTGTACATTATTACAGTATTAATATTATTATTATTATTATTATTATTATTATTATTATTATTATTATTATTATTATTATTTGTAAACTTTTTTAACAGTCCTTAGATACCATCTGTACATTAAGACATGCTTGATGAAGGGCCCGGGTTATCATTGACACAATTGAAAATTATCGGCCATGCATTTGACACTTTGGTAAACCCACCGTGCCAAATCCGAACCACCATTTAGAGAGTTCTACAAAATATGCGAAAACCAGTACATTATTGTCGTGATATTTTACAACAGGAAACACAAAGTTTAAAAGAAAAACAAAAAAACTTCAAAAGATTACGACCTCAGGGCCTAGCTAGAAAGTATAATACGGTATTTGATTTTTTGACTGCTAGAGTCCCGCCCAGTGGTAATAAAATTAAAAACTTAGGCTAGCATAGCAATTTTTGTGGTCATAACATAGGCCCTGTTACACTTAAAGTAAGATGCTTAGGCTGGCCCTATGTACTGTTATAACATTACACTAAATCGTAAAATGGAACAGCGCTGCCATTTTCCATATTCTCATGGCAAATACTCAGGACTTTTGATTTAGTTTACATTTGTGCTAAATTGTGTTTTAAGATTTTTAAAATGTATTATTTGGGATTTGCCTTGTCATATTGAAAGAAAATAAATTTACTACACTCATTGAGATTCAAAATGTAGTGTGTGATCTGTACACTTGCTGCCTATGGAGGAAATACAGAAATCAATTGAGTTTGTTTTCACAAGTTCATTCGCTTACGACGCAAATTGTTAGTGCACGCGTAGAAACTGATGAATTTGGGTACGGTGGCTCAGGGTTGACATTGTGTGTTTACGAAAGGGCCAAATGCATCGGCGACACTACTTTAGGCCTATGTAATATATTTAGAATTATGAGATTTTGAAATCGATTGAATTGTCGCCTTCAATCCGTACATTGTGAAAGCCCGATACTATTGAGGGTTCCCTCACGTCTCCTAGTCCAGTTACGGTTCTCCTGACCCAATTACGGTTCCCCTTCCCCTTTGTCCCCACACGTAGTGTTGCGTCATCGTTACACCCCACCTTTTCTACAAATTCCTGGGCCAAAAAGTGTTCATGTATCTACGAAATATCTTATAAATATTCTGAAAACCTTCAGATCCTTCAAGTATTTTAACAATATAACGTTTTTTTAGGATATAGAACACCAGGATTAATCTGAACGTTATAATTCAAACACCACAGAAGAAGCTTTTACCATTTGGACTAATATCTTCAACGGTATTTGTGATAAGAACGCACGTATGTAACCAGAAGATTTGAATACAACTTACCTATATAGTTATTGGAGACATGATGTTTTTTTTTTTATCGTTTTCATCAGAGAGACAAATTAAAGAAAAAAGCTAACAAAAAAAAAAGAAAGAAAAAAAAAATTAAGGACGCTAAGGACTTTTCTAACTATCGTAAATTATACAAAAAACTATTTGTAGAAATGCTAAAACTGATTACTATAAGTCCCATGTTACTAACAACAAAGGTAAATACTAAACAGATCCGGAAAGGTCTTAAGGATCTTGTTCCATCTAAATATTCTAATATTTTATCACCTTCCTTCTCTATTAATGATATTGATATTCGGATCCTAAAACTATTGCTAACTTCTTCAACACGTGCTTTGTTAATGCAGGCTAACTTATCTTTGCACTCTTACGTTGATCCATTGTCATATCTTACTCCTTGCGCCCATAATTTTTCTTTTGAAAATATTATTAATGATTTGGTTTTCCAAGAGCTTATTACATTAAATCCCCATAAGTCTTCTGGTTTAGATAACACTAATAGCAGACTCCTGAAACTTGCTGCTCCCATAATATCACCACACCTTACCTTTATCTTCTATCTATCCCTCAATTCTGGCATCTTTCCATTTCTCTGGAAGCACTCTAAGGTCACACATGTCTATAAATCGGGCAAAAAAATAATAGCTTATTAATAATTACCGTCCTATCTCTATTCTCCCTACATCTTATAAAATCATTGAAAAAGCTGTATCTTTACAGCTCTACACTCACCTCAATTATAATAAGCTCATCTGCTTCTCTTATTTTGGCCTTCGACCTAAACATTCTACATGTATACA